GGAAATCTCCAAATGTACATTGTATCTAAGTGTTTTGATGAAATCAACAATGAAGATGATTAGATGAATAATTATTTATTAGTAAAATACTAAATAAAATACTGAATTTTTTGCTAAATATTTCACATTTTCTAATAGGTACATATATATTTGGCAAAATAAAAATAAAAGTATTTACATATTTTGACTTTTATATTACAAAAATCCGTGCCCTAATTTTGAATAAGAAAAATATACTTACATATAAGCTAGGTATAAACATTGGTTATATCATAAGAAGTTAAATAATAATAATAATTTTATTATATAATCAATAGCAGGAGCGGATACACAGTTAAAAAACTCAGGCTATTTCAAGAGGCTACTTATTTTGATTGAAACGGGATTATAAATATATAGTTTGTAACAAAAAAATACAATATGATCATATTATATGTGTTTTTAAGTTAATTCATAAATATCATTGAAAACATTAAAATTTATTTTATTTATAGAGAATTCTATCTTACATGGAATCCGGCATAGAGATGTTTTACTGTACTATACAATTCAACTAGTGGCGTAATTTTCACAGGGATGGCAATTGGGGAATTGTCTAACCTAACCCATTATAGTATTAACTTAACCTAGAATCGGTGCTCTTAAAAAATATAAGTAGTCTATAAGATACTAATTTTGTAAACAAATATTAACTGTGGATCAGCTGACCTGAATCCCCCTAGATCCACTCCTGATCAATGGTATAGATCAGGGATGGCAAACCTTTTGAACACTGCGAAATATTATATTTTGTTATATTATAATTTGATTGTATAATTAATGTAAAAGTATAAAAAGGTTAGTTTAGGTACATAATAATAATAATAATAATAATTATAATAATATTGTTTTGTTAATTATTTATATTATATTATATTATAGGTCCTATAATATTATATAATATAAAATAGTAAAAATTTTCACGTGCCCACAAAATCTTTTCGCATGCCATCTCGGGCACTCGTGCCATGGATTTGCCATCCCTGGTATAGATAAACTTATGATTGATTAACTTGTAACATTCTAGCAAGAAGACTGTACACTAGTTATACAACTAAGAAAATAAATTGCCTATACTTTTTAATCCAAGGAAGACATAGGTCTAATAATATGCCTCTTAAATGTAATTTGATGTAAAGGGTGTTTCATAAAGAACGCAGTTTTTAAAATGCTAGGTTATTTTTTGTTGTTAGGTTGGTGGCACTTTTCTTATAATCTATGTAATTTATGATTCTTGAGGTTTTTAGTGATATTATTTTTGTTTATTTGTCGTCATGGAGCTGTATACAACTGAGCAACGTAATTTGTTTTTTAAAACTCATTATAAACACGGTGAGTGTGTTGCGGTAACTGTTAGAAAACTTCGTACGATCCTCGGACACCGTCCAACTGCAACAACAATAACGAGGCAAAAAATTTGAAGAGACAGGATCAACTGCGAACATTAAAAGCCCTGGGCGCAAGCGATCCCAAAGGTCGAATGAAAACATCGTTGTTGTGAGCGACTCTGTCATTGTGAGTCCGAGAAAATCGATCTGTCGCCGTTCTCAAGAGTTAGGTATTGAGGTATGCTCTTTACAACGAATTCTTAAGAATTGATTTACACTTGCATGCATATAAGATGCAGTTGACCCAAGAACTTAAACCGGCGGGCGGACCATACTAAACGAAGAAAATTCGTTAATTGGGTTTTATCGAAACAATGTTCTGTTGATTTTGTGAAAAAAATCTATAGTGATGAGGCACATTTCCACCTAAGTGGGTATGTGAATAAACAAAATTGTCGAATTTGGGGAAATGAGAACCCAAGGGCTGGAAAAACAAATGCATCCACAGCGAGTAACCATTTGGTGTGGCTTATGGGCAGGTGGAGTGATCGGCCCATACTTTTTTGAAGATGAAGATGGAAATGCAGAAACAGTGAATGGAGATCGTTATCGAAACATGATTTCATATTTTTCTCTGGCCTATTCTGGATGACATGGACACTGAAGAAATGTAGTTCCAGCAAGGCGGTGCCACCTATCACACTTCTGGAACCACAATTGCATTGCTTCATGAAAAATTTGACGGCCGACTCATTTACATCCGTGGCGATTAGCAGTGGCCACCAAGATCATGTGATTTAACTCCATATGACTTCATTCTTTGGGGCTTCGTTAAATCACTGATTTGTGCAAACAAACCACGCAATTTATTGGATCTTAAACAAGAAATTTAACGAGTTATCAGTGAACTTGATGGACAAGTCTGTAAAGACGTTATTTGTAATTTCATGGACAGAGTCACTACGTGTTGAGCGAGTAGAGGGGGTCATATACACGATATTGTATTTCACACTAAAACCTCGAGCTGTAGTGAAATAATATGTACCATTAATAATGTATTTATTAAAAATAAAATTGATTTATAGTAAAATTAAAAACTGCGTTATTTATGAAACACCCTTTATAATAAATTAATTTTTAAACTACAATTTTAATCTTAAATATACACCTAAATCGACAAATAAATAATGATACAATGTCTGTAACTAGATACTTAATTTAATACATTTAAAATTACTAAAATTAATTATATTTTTCGTTAATAAATAAAAGGTGTTTTATAAATTATCAACAGTGAATCATCTTTATACGATAAACTATTCCAATAAGCCAAAAGTATTGATTGGAGAAAAACGTATGATACCTATTTACCTACACACAAAGGAAATACTTTTGATAATTGAGTGGTAAAAATTTACAATATTAAATAGCACAAATTAAAAAATTAAAACTTTGAAATTGATTATATTATAAACTTACTTTCAAAACAAAATCCATATATAATAATAGTTTAAAATAAATAATTATTTACTGGAATAGTGGTATTATTAAATAATTATATATATATATATTACTATAAATGGAAGGTTTTTAATCGGAAGTTGCTGAATTAGCTTCCGTTTAAAAAAGGTGTTTTATTAAAGATATTTAACCTTCCTTAGGAAGACTTTCTAACCTAGACGTAATTTTTCCTAAAGAGCTCCGTTTATTTTACCATAGAAAATGTAAAAACGTAACAATTATTGATAGTTATTTAAAACAACGAGCGTATACATTTTTACAAGACTTTATAAACTCAAATATGATACGCATACAAACAATATTAAAATCCCGAAAGGAAAATATATTTTTTTTAATTTTAGTTAATACATATTCCCATTCCAATTATTTCCCTGTCAGATTTATTGTATATCAATATTATATTAAATATAGATACACTATATCATTTTAAGTTTCTTCCTGTGTAAATACATATCATGTGTAGTAATATGCTTCGTAGAATATAGGCAAATAAAACTTAATACTAAATATTTCTTGGGCTCCACGAGAAAATACTGCTCAAAAAAAAAGGCTCAGTGGTTGAAAAAGTTTGGGAATCGCTGTATTAAAGTATGAGGATTTAGTTCCCGTTTAAAAAAAGTATTTTAATAAGGTATACTGAATGGGTTCCCATCTGTGTTCAGATAACACTTTAACAATTTTTATTTTTAAGCATAATTTTGCAATATGAAATCATATATATGCTTTAGAAATTAGACTGATTCTGAAACTATTTTTTAGACAGCCTTTTTTATCACCTGAAGCATTGAAAACTGTTTTTATAATGATTTGATAGCCTTAAAACCATGCTGCCTAAAATTAGATCAGTTCTTTCACTACGTTCATAATGCATAATACATAATAAGACAGTAAATTATCACAGAAAATGTAAACTGGATTTGATAAAAATTGATATGAATACAAATTGTAGAAAATCGATCTATTCAAAGATAACTAAAAGATTTACCACCACACATCCTAAAATATTTAATTTTATAGAGACTTTGAACAATACTGAAACATTAAATTTCGCAGTAGTAATACAAATAAACTTACCAAAAAACAAGAGATAAAAAACTAATACTTGGAAAGGTTTATGACTGAGTACATTGGTCAATCGACATCAATCGAATCGCGTTCGCAACAAACAAATTACAAATTATTCTGCACTACTCAGCGAACACAGTACACACATGGATGGGCGATTCTCTTTTCAGAGAAAATGTTCCATTCCCTTTTTTGACCAATTCAGTTTTTGTAGAAATTCATTATGAGCCATTGTACCTCATAATATTTGTGTGTATTTAATATTTATACATTCAAAATAATGATACTTTTAGTAATATTATCGTATTCTACAATGATAAATATAACTTCACATCACGTATATCTAATAATTAAAAAAATTAAAAGGTGAATTATGACGAGCTATGTATTTAAAACATTTTGGGTGAAAATAATAAGGTATTTATATAGGTAATATGATTAGTTGAATTATATATTTAATTTACTGTTACACACATCACGATGTATAGATCTTCCTTGTACGTAAAATAACGTCCCCAATCGTAGTAATAGAATGCGTAAGTAAAAAAAAAAAAAAAAAAAATAGCTAACCTGACCAATTAAACTCATATGCCTTCTATCCAAGGGTTCATTAAAATTCATCAATGGGTTTTTGCTTAATATATTTAACAGTGTATTACATAATTTAAAGCGTGTATTGAAACCTTAGAGAAAATAAGTAATCATTTTTCCTATTCATTTTCCTGAATACTTAATACTCACATTAAAACATTGCAATGAACTACTCGTTTTCATTTGTCTTTAAGTGTAGGCGGTAAGATTTCGTTTTCAAAAACAAAAAATAAAGCGAAGCATAACTTTGTAACCGTTACCGCCGTGACCAATCACAAATTAAAACCATCGATCGGGAAGCGTAGACAACAGATGGAGCAACGCGTCATGAATGATGGCGGCGGCGCCAGTGCGTGCAGATGACGTGACGCAAAACTACCAATCTCCGTCCGCCATGCCCCTTCGCTTTATCCACCATTTCACTTTTTTCCCTTTGGTGTGTTTTATTTTATTTTTTGTTCTTTTTGTGTGCACCGTAATCATTACGACCCACCGCCGACTCACCTACACAATTAAAATGGCGGAACGTTATCAACACAACAGAAGATGTCATTGACGCTTTTTATTGTTTACGATGCGTAATCCAATTCAATAAATTTGTCCGAAATCCGTCAACCGTACCGTGCAATCCGCGTATTTTTAGTCTCGAGTGTCCAGCGTTCAACGACAGCTTGGATACGATGTGTGCGCGTTTCAAGCGTCTCGATTTCTCGCCGCTAAACGGTCCCGTGGTGGCACCAACTGTCTCGGTTATTGTTGTTTGCGCGTAACCTAATGCGCCGTTGACGACGCACAACTGAGCTGTTTTACGAAGATTCTCAGATCCGTTTTGCAAGTTAATGTTAAAAAGGTAAGTACTCTCAACCGTGTGAGTAAAATATCCGCCCGCCCGTAAAACGGTGTACTTTACATTGTACGTGTCCACTGTCGGAATGTCCGTGGGTGTTTATAGGCAATGTTGTTGTATTCAGGTATAATGACAATCTTCAGCCAATAAGATTGGTAACAGACCATCTGACCGAGCGGCTGAATCTCGAGGGCGCATTAACGTTGCCGATTGCCAGCCCGAGTTCAGTGGATTTAGAACCTAAACCGGTGAAGCCAACAAAAAAAAACAGGCTGTCGACCGGATCACAGAATATTCGGCTTGCGGCCAAAAAAAATCACCAGAATGACGTGACAACGATGAGTAACAATCTCATGTTTCGAAGCATGTTTTTTATGAACGAAGAAGCTAGACATTTCTTGGCGCCGCCTATACAATTGTCTACAACTGATGGAGAATATTTCACTCGTAAGACTGGAAATCCAAATTTGAATACACATCATCAACAGCAACAGCAGCAAGCAGTTGCAGCTCTTGCAAATCACGACTCCAGTTCTAGTGTTGAAAAACCATTACAAGTAATATTACATTTTTATACGCTTAAAATTCATTATCTAATTATTATGTTTACATTAGCCTCCTAAAGCTCGCCCTCACGGTTGCGAGGAGTGTGGAAAAACCTTTTTAATGAAACATCATCTGTCAACACATATGAGAGGTCATACTGGTGAGCGACCACATATTTGTCCTGAATGTGGTAAGACGTTTGCACTTAAACACTGTTTAAGCACACATTTGTTATTGCACAGCTCTGAACGACCTTACAAATGTTTGGAGTGCAATAAAAGTTTTACCTTAAAACATCATTTGGTTAGTATTTTTATTTTGAATATACCATTTATTTAATGTTTCAAATATTCAAATTCAATACACAATTTCCATTTTAGGTAAGTCATGAAAGAGTACATACCCGAGATAGACCATTTGAGTGCCCTGAATGTCGTCGTAGATTTCCACAGAAACGTCACTTGACTACTCATATTAAATTCCATTCGGGAGAACGACCATATTCTTGTTCGGTATGTGTTATTTGTTTAACTTTTTTAAATTTCTAAATGATATTCTGAATTACAATATTTGTTGTCCTAGGTTTGTGGTGAAACATTCTCGCGAGAAGAACATCTAGTCATGCATTCTAGATTTCATGGAGGAACACAACCATTTGTGTGCCCAGACTGTGGAGCTGCATTCCTGCGTAAATTTGAATTGGTAAATCATGAACGACAACATGGTCGTATACCTGAATCTTGTCCTGCTTGTGGTAAAGAGTTCTTGCAAAGACGCACATTATTGGTCCATGTTAGAAATTGCGGCTTAAATTCATCAACACCAGTACATAGATCTCCTTATACTGCAACAGCAAGCAAAGCATGCCGGTAAATTTAATAATTATATTTATTTATAGATTTTAAAAATGTAATGTACAATAAGCTTAATTTTATTAAATACTTATAGTGAATGCGGTGAAACATTTGCTAGTGATGAAGGTCTGGCACTCCATATGCGATTACACATTGGTGATCATAGTTTCCTGTCTGACATTTGTAGTCTAGCTGCTACTTTAAAACAAAGCGTACAGGGGGTATCAAATGGCATTACTAATGTACAGAATCATCACCAAACACAACATCAAGCTGGTACTGTAGCTAATAAGAAATCTCACTACTGCGGAGATTGTGGTCGTGGCTTCACCCAAAAACATGGTTTACAACAACATCACATCAAGTACCCGAATGCGACTTGTAAAGACAAACCATTTTCATGTCAAAAATGTGGTAAAAGTTTCATGCAAAAAAATCACCTTGTATTGCATGAAAGACAACATATGGACCCACCACCATCTAGAAATCGTAATCCTACAACTTCAGCTGTCCAATCAATACAACATTTACAGACTGAACAGGTTGGCCTGCAACCAACTCCTCTTCATGCCTCTATATTGGGACTTCAGCCTATTAGACATATTCAATCTTCTGGTAGTCAACCCCAACTTTTAAGACATCACCCAAGTGAGGCTCATTCAGGGTCTTAATAACTGCTTCAATTTACATCTTGTAATTAAGAATAGCAAAAGAAGTTACAATTTTCTAACTGAAATTTCAGTTTTTAATGAACTTTAAATTGCAAAATATAAAGGCAGTGGTGGATGATTGAAAATATAGTGTTTAATATTTTCTAACTACCTAAATGTATTATTTTATGCATAAGTGCAAATTGGTATATAATATTTTTTAAAAATACAGCATCGGCTCGATATAAAGCCATGTCTTAACTAGATATTTTTTCCTTTAGTTTTTTTCCTTGCTTGCTCTTCAAGTATACGTCAGTGTATTTAAATTTTAAAATGATTAATTTGTATCGTATATATTCATAAATATACATATATTTATTTGTGTAGATTATTAATTAAATTTAGAAATATTTTATTAAAATGTATTAATATTTAACACGAGTTTAAAACTATGCTGCACATAATGATTCACTAACAGTTGAATTGATATTGATGCATTCGTTGCAGCATGACAAAATTTTAAGTTATTTTTATGCAGCTATTCACCTGGAATGAATTTCCTATTTATATTTGTTTGTCTAATTATCGAAAGTAACATACATCCTCGTGTTGATTGATGAGTTTGTAAATATTGTGATTTTTTTTTTTTAATACCTAATCAAATTATATGTAGTAGACTCATTAGATGATAATTTAAATTAAGTTAACATTTGATTAATTTTGCCAGGCTTTATCTTGTATTGTGTAAAAGATAAATTTTGTGTGTGTATTATTATTTAATAATTAATTTGCACTAATATAAGTGTAATTAATAAGAAAATCCCAAGTTTTAATGGGTGCTACTAATATGATGTAAAAATATTTCTACAGTAATTTTATTTTAATATTATTTTAATTTTTTTTTTTTTCTACTGTCTTGTACCAATTAAATGTATAAAGAAAATACTAATTATTAAGTAATATAAATATTATATATAAATATATATATATATATATATTTGGAACATACTAAAATATAGAAAAAAAATTAGCACATTTTAATATTTTTTAATTTTTATATTTTATCAATATAAACATTCCATTTTTTTTTTTTTTTTTTTGGTTATAGTAAAAAAAGATTGTATAATTTAGATGTAAATTGTATGGGGGAACAAATTATAATAATAGATTTATTGCCTTATTTAGAATTAGGAACACTAAATAATTGATGTACATGCATAAATATCAATGATGTTTTCTTAACAATTTTTAATCAATTGCAAATAGCTAGAATGCCTATATAATTAAATTTTACGACTCTTAAGGAATTGAATATATCGTATTTAATTGAAAATGTTTTTATTGATTTCAAACAAAACTTCTTTTTTATGATCCATCTATCAAAGAGTAATGTGTAAGAAATTATTTATTTAAAAGTGAAATAAAAATATCTTCACTGTAAATAATAATCTGGGTCTGGTTGAAACAAACATATGCTCAAGTTTAGAAGTTTCATACAGACTTCACTGACGTTTTTTTAACTGGTACTGGACTCCACAATTTATCAGAATAGTTGTAGTAGGGATGGTTAACTGTGCATAAGTATTAAATCAAATCTTTAATTTGCTAACGCAAGATATTTTTGTTCTGTGATCAAAAGTCAGGTATAATGGCTACATACAATTGGAGCAATATTTATTACATGGGCCTTGGGGATCATATGCTAAATAAACTATTGAACACTAAATATATAAACAATTTAAAAAGGCCTACTGAATAATGTGGGTGTCCTTTCCTTATTTATGAATACTACTACAAATATTTTTCTAACATTTTCTTAATAAACTACATGTATTATCTATATTATCTTTCAAGCTCTCAGTAACGAAAAGCTGCCACTCGCTTTTCAACTGCTACATCGTACATAAGTTTAAGAAGGAATAATTGGGTTGGACAACATCAGCGTGTTCTATTAAGACAAACTAAAACTACGAATCTCATCTTTATCGAGAATTCCTATTTTGTGTTCCATTGTAAGAACATAACGTTTACGTTTATTAAAAATACTTGTAGTGGAGCGTATATACGAAGGGTATACGGCATATAACGACTTCTCCGTTTTTTGGTTGATGCGTATATTTCTTATAATACAATTTTTGATACGCAGGTATATGGGTACATTTATACTAGCTATAAACAGTTTAATGGAATTTTGACCTATTTTCTAAAATTCCAAAGAAATTTCTTTGCCATCATGTATTATGTTTACATTTTACAAATCTATTTTTAATCGTATTGCATAGAAGTATTGTATAAAAAACCGTTACACTACTGCAATAGTCTAAATTTATATTTTATTGTTTTTAAATTAGGATCTTTATTTTGTTAGCTTATCTTATCGCTCATGGACAAAACTTTACCACAAGTGAACAGAATCATATAGATACTAATTATAAATATACCATAACTGACTACTGAGAGGCATATCTATTTATATAAAATTGAGTATATTTTTAAAAATTATAAAATGTTATGCAATTTTACACGCTGCGTGTTGGCCATTAAAGTTGTAAGCGTGTAGCGACTAATCCGATTACATTGAACGATTAGATTATAAATAATATGAATAATATTCAATTATATTATGTAAATATGTAATTCAGTACATGAATTTAAATAAACTTGATTAGTTAAGATTTGGAAAATACGTTTACAAGAAATTTGTTATTCTCAGTGAGTATTTCGTTTATCATACCTTATTATTATGATCAAAGGGCCCACAAATTAATTTGCCCCTAGCCCCGAAAAATCTTGAGACGGCCCTGTATATATGTTATGAAGAATTATTTATATGAAATTTACTAAACAATATTTAAAATGTACATAATAATGTACAGTAAAAAAATAATTATTAATTTTCTTTTTTATTTCGTGTCACATTTATTTTTACATATCATTTATTATATTTTAAAAACTAAAGGTGAAAGATTTAATTATAATAACATTATAAAACATAATATAAATTACAATTTATAAAACTTTTAATATCACTCAAATTATTTCTATTTTTGGCCTTTGCAATGTACGCATATAATCGATCACTTAAAACCTGCTTTTCGTCAACCACGATTTTTACCACAACCTTTAATACTATTTGATATATATTTAAGTAATTTAACGAATGCTGGAGCTTTTAATGTAGTTACTAGTGACAACATATTATTTTGAATTGTCCACCCCCAATCTTCGGGATTTTTATATGACCTAGTCATAATTGAACTTGCAGCTAAACTCTAAATGAATGTTGTCTGCCAGCTTTTTCTGTCGAAGGAAGTGACGCCAGGGGCGCACCCAGGATTTTTTTTTTGGGGGGGTCTAAATAAAATTATCTTTTAACAGTTACAGTATTTATTTTTAAATATGTACAAAAATCGGAAAACACGCTTGTGCTTGTGCACGATTTTTACGTCACTTTCTTTTATGAAATTAACAATATGATATTTTACATAGTTTTGATTTAGTCAGTAGTCACGCCGCGTGCCGTTACGGTGAAGTTATTCCTGTAAAATAATAAATATTATTATTAATTTATTATATTATAACTAATATATTGATTATTTTTCATACATTTTACCTTTTAATTTTAAACTACGAAGTTAAGTCGTCTTGGTCCTTTTTTTCCTAGTATTGATAGTACTTCTGAAGTTTGAACATCGATTTCTCTATGAATACGAAGCATAGCTAATCCATTCAGTCGATTCTGACTCATTGTATTTCTCAAGTATGTTTTTATTCTTCTTAAAGAAGAAAATGATCTTTCCGTTGTACTTGTTGAAACAGGCAATGTTGAGAATATTTTTAAAAGTATAAATATAGTTTGAAATAGAGTATCATTACACAAGTTTAATGCATCGATCGCATTATGTGGTAAAGAATGATTTTGGTGTGCGAATTTTTGGTACCATAAATCGAATTCGGCGGCTGCAGCATTAACTCCATTTTGTGGTATATCATTTTTGTAAAATTCCAATAGTTTTGAATACTGTGATTTTTCTGTTTGATTGGGAATATGTCCAGTTGGTAAAAGGCACTTAAAACTTTTAATCACATCTTTGTGCTTTAAAAATCGTTCAGATATACTATTAATAAAGGAATCTAGCCATGGAATGAAAATGGCACGTTTATAATATTCTTCTTCATTTTCTGAGGGTACATTACACCGTTTGGTTTGATTTTTTGTTAATCTAGGCATAACAATTGTTATTTCTAAGGCATCAGCAATTTCGCAAGCTTCGTTGAAAATAATTTTAAATTCGTTTTCAACATTTGTTCGTATGTTTTGCAGAACAGATATTACACTATCTACGTTATTTAAAGCATCCGAAATATCCAAATCAGTCGATTGAAGAATTTTACTGATTGGCAAAGTATAACTTAACAGTTTTTCTGCACACAATAGAGATATTATAAAACTTGATTGTCGAATTCCACATAACAGTAAAAACGCATTAGACGATGAGTCTTTACAACTCCATGACTGTATTTCTTCTAAAGCTGCAACTACAGGCAACAACATTTGTTTCAATATAATAACAGAATCATGACGTTCGACCCATCTGGTTGGACAAAGTTGCTTTAATTTCGTTTTATTTGAATTATATGTCGATGTTTCAATATTATGTTGAAGGATATCTTGACGTTTCGGAGTATTAAAAAATGTATATATTTTTTCAAGAATACCAAAAGCGTTTCTAATTGGAACTACTTCAGCTGCATTTGATAAAGCTAAGTTTAAACTATGTGAAACGCAATGTACGTATATTGCTGTTGGATATTTATTCGTAATAAGTGCCTGTACGCCTTTAAATTGATCGCTCATAGAAGAAGCGCCATCATAGCCTTGGCCACGTAAAAAGTTTAAATCAATCCCAATATTGTTTAATGTTTCTAAAATAACATCGGCTAGGCGTTGACCTGTAGTAGATTGCACAGGAACAAATTTTAAAAATTGTTCAACAATTTTATACTCATTATTGCTCATCAATTCAACAAATCGCACACATAAAGAAAATTGTTCTACGGTTGATACGTCTGTGGTTTCATCAGCCAAGACAGAAAAAAATTTAGCTTTATTAATTTTAGTAACTAATTTTTTAATAATAATTTCATCACACACTTCAATAATTTGATTTTGTATATTCCAGCTTATATAAGTAGCATTTTTACTACAAGTTTCAAAATGCTTTTTTAAACTTTCATCACCTGATTCAATTCTAGCCCTCAATAAGGCACGAAAGTTTCCTTCGTTTTCCGCGGGCTCTTTTTTTGTACTAAAAACGCCATAATCTCGATGAGATCTTAACGACAAATTTTGACGCCCACATAAAATTACTGTTTTAATAATTGGTTTAAGTTTCTCCTGATTATCTAAGGCTTGTTTTTGTGAATCTTTGTCAATTTTTTTATCGATTGATAACAATTTTCCACTCATAATGTCAATGAAAGTATCATATTTTAAAATAGCATCTTTATGATAATTTAAAAATGAATGTTTTTCGAATCGTTCTAAAGCATTTTTCCAATTATTATATCCTGTCTTAACTAATTGATTAAGTGCCTGAGAAGAACAGTTACCAGCATATGAAGGGGCAAATAAGACACACGTCTTACAATAAACACTATTTTCTAATTTAGAATACGCCAACCATTTATATTTTGTCAACCAAAATCGATTAAATTTTCTGTTTTGCGATCCTATTTGCTGAGTTTTAAAAATATAACTATTATCGGGGACCCACATATTTTGAATAATGTTTATTTTTTCATGATCACTTAATTTTTTGTTAACATATAAAGATATATCAAATTTTGGAACTATGTTATTACCTTCATTTAGTTGGATATTAGACTCATTTGGTATATCTGTAGCACTGTTATTTATTGTTGATGAATTTTCTGCTGTGATTGGTGGTTTTTGGTTTTTTGATTCTGGTAGTTCAACATTTGGTGTGGTGTTTGACTCCACTTTGAAATAATTTAACAGTGAACCAGAACGACTACGTTTCTGATTCATTGTATTGCAATCCACAGAAAAAAAATTAACGCTAATAACCAACGACGCGACGTTCACTTGTACGATTGTACGACGAATGATAAATATAATACATTTATAAATCGTTTTGTTGAAATAAGTATACGAAATAATATGATTATTGATTATCTAAATTGCCCGTGTCATTGACACATAAACCAAGAGATAAGCTACAAAAATATATCATCGCGGCAGGTCGCCTTCATCGACGATTTCCAGGAAAAGAATACCCATAACATTGCTAAAAATAAACGAAAACGAAATCCAAATACACTGTTTAAATGAAGACACTTTACTGAATAACGACACATAAAAACGGAAGAATTGCCCTGTTAACCAACTATTTTTGGGGGGGGGCTTAAGCCCGTTAGCCCCCCCCTTGGGTGTGCCCTTGAGTGACGCAAGATTAATTTTATTTTTTTGTAGCACATTTTGTAAACAACTTACTTTTAACTTACTTTACTTTACAACTTCCTTATTCTTTTTAACTTTGAGCGTTGTTCAAAGACTTCTTATTTTCAGACACTTCATATAAATATGAAAAATATTAAACACCATTTTAGCTATTTTCTCGTGGGATGAATTAGGATTATTAAAAATTGAAATTATTGAATTTATATCCTTCAGTTTATCTAATATTTGAATGCATTTTTACCCTTTTTGAAATAAGGCTAACGCTGGGTCACAATAATTTAGTACATGATAAAACAATATTTTATTTATTATGGGTTTATCGTTTTTTTTTTCGTATAAATTCAATACTATATTTTTTTTTCTATTTTACCAGATTTTTTTTTTTTATTTATATAAAGACAATCTGTACACAATCGGCACAATAAGAGTAAGAGCTATTGATATGAAGAAATTGGAAATAATGAATAAAGAAGTCATTCACTGATGACACTTTCGTATTTTACCAGAGCTAGATAATTATTTTCTCTAGAAGTTAAAGCAATGAAAAGTACTTATAAGTCAATATTCTCGCCAACCACCATGATTTTAGGATGAAAACTTAACATATTAACTGCAGTTTTAAATAGAGCTTAAAGTGGGGGGATGCAAGGGAACTCGATCCCTCTATACCTCACAGCGCTTATAAAACGTTCCCTTTAACATTCTTTTAAACTTTTTTAACATTTTTTTTCTAAATAAATAATGTAGCATTCGCAAATTGATTCAAATGTTGAAAAAATCCTCCATAAATTTCATACTTTTCGTTAATAATATCTAAGGCTTGAATTTATATGTGAGTACATATTTTTACTGTGACTTGATAAATTAATTTATGTAAATGAAAAATTCATTTCAAATGATTTTCAATAAAATTAACTATAGCCATATAAATTTTTTACATTTCTGAGGTGGAAGATAAAATAAATATTCCAAATAATCTAAATTAAAAAAAAAATGAGTAGTGTTGTAAAATATCTGATCAGTTTAACTAACAAAATATATCCTAACATTCAACAATAAGGAAACAATTGTGCGTCATTGTGCGATTCTATCTTCTACAATGATACAAACAGTAGTTTCAATTCCTATTTGAAGAGTACAGGAGAAAAACGGTAGTAGTCCATTTCTGTAAATTTTTTAGAGGAGCAAAAATAAAGTATGGACTAAAATCTTTCTTCACCAGTATACCTAATATTTTCCATTTAATAACTATGGACTGAAAGATTTTTTCACTACATCGATTTCAACAGTCGATATTACACCTTATTTGCTATCGAATCAAACCATAAAATCAAAATCGAAAAAAATGGACTACTACCGTTTTCTCCTGTAACCTTAATTTACTAGAGTAGTTTCCTAGTATTCTAATAAAATATAAATCAGTGGACTTTCTTATAGTCGATGATGTAGTGCAGTAGTTCTTATACTTTTTTGTTCGCAAAGCTCTTACATTTCAAATAAAATGTCGAAGCTCCAAAAATCAGGAACATTTATTTGAGACTACAATAATACACAAATAATGATTTAATAATAATTAATCAAATTCATCAATTTTATTATTGGTCGATTCTAAATATTCCTTTAACAGGGTGAAACTTTAAGTTTTATTTCGATAAAAATACACCACCCAAAATTTAATTATTTTTAAAAAAAGCTCAGATTTTATCATTTGTTGTGAAAACTGTGGTAATTACCTTGCATTGATAAATTTATTTTATTTAATTCTGTGAAAATATCAGATGAGTAATAAAGTGGAAATAATCAAATTTTATCAGTAAGTCTGATATTAAACTAAATGGGTATTCGGTGAAAAAAACATACAATTCATTGCGCAATTCAAGAAATCGTACCAGTATGTTTCCTCAATAACTAATGAATACAATAATATTGGAATTTAATTCATTCAGATGAGCCCACGAAGCCATTTTTCGGAGACTTCTCACGCGGAGCTCTAACAAATTAATTAATATATATACATACATATTAATCAAAATGAATTGTATAAAAAGATTTATTTTTATTATATAATAGGTTCATACTTTATGTATTGTGGACAAAATACCAAAGAAATGAACATTATCTGTGCACACCGTTATTATTATGACATAATAATTTATTAGTTAATATTCCAATAACATTATATAAATCATAATTCGAAATACATTCATTCATTCTAAACTCAAAATGAAATAAATTAATTTATTCAAATGAACGACATTTTATGGAATGAATGAAAACGATTGATCTAATGGATCTTTGTTGTATTCAATTCTATGCATCAGTGGCATTACAATAATTTCAGTTTTTCATGCTTTTATTATTTTGCCGACTCAAAGTTAGTTATTACGTCCATAAGCGGAAATTCATTAATGTTTCAGGGGGCGCTAACATTTTCAATATCAATGTGAGCCATTTGGACTTAGCCATCACACTCCCATTAATAAATAAATAGAAAATCTACAGTTCACATAACTCTTTTTTGTATTATACAAATTAATTTAAATGCGTTGTTAGATTAGTAGATTATAATATTATTATAATCTGATAATCTAATTATATATATATAATTATAATAATATTATCAACATATTGTTCTTAATATTATTGTTCCAAATCATGTCTTTATATAAAACATTTTTATGATTATCGTGGGAGCTGTCACACAACACGGATTGTTTCCCAACCTTTCCCACCAGAACTTCCAAACATTTTTCTAATTTACAACATGTCAATGGCTCTACGAAAGACGTATTTATATTTTGATGATATATTTACTTTGGAATAGTTAAACTCTAGACTGTGGCAAGTTCACAAGTTGCCACTCAACCCTCCCAATTCAAGCTACTGCTCTACAGTAGTAATTTTGTTTTAGTTCGTGCATCATTTAATAAACGATTAGAACGAATCATATGAACTTTGAATGACTCAATCCAAATGAATCAAATCTTTCGATTGACCCGTTTTGCTTATATCTAATTAATTTATATTTAGCACACACTTTGATCTAAAATAATGTCCGCCAAAATATTGATAACCTGGTCGTCAATATAAGTATTATAACGCTTACCACGGTCATGCATTAAAAATATTCAGCTGTTAGTAAATTATATTGTTTTAGGTTAGTTTCAAGAAACTAAAGGATTTTTTTTTTTTTTTTTTAAATAAAAATTCATAATTTTTCTTATCGAAAACTTTAACCAATTTGTGTATTTGTATAGGTACTTCGTACACCTGATTTAATTTCTACGAAATATTACCTTATTAAACAGGAATCTGTCATAAGCTTCACTAATTATAATGTTACTAAATAATTCACTCCGTATGATTGGCAGCTATCTGCGACCTATGTCAAAGAAGTAAGGACGAACTTTAACTAGTAACTCTATACCGAATAGTTGTGAATATGTTATAAGTTTTGGTGCCTATGTTTCTGTAGAAGCTTAAGGCTGTATTCTGCCGCCACGCAGCCGTTAACTGTTCCAGAGCCGGATGGCAGTGTGCTACCGAGCTCCCCAAAGTTAGAAAAATTATACACCGAAATAACTGCCTTAACAATGTTAGAGGTGGCTGAGTTTACCGAACTCTTAAAAGTTCGTCTCAATCTAAAAGACATTCCCATGGGAGCAGTTGTTAGTGCGCCTGCAGCTGCACAGGTGAAAACTGTTTAAAAAAACATAATTATGTTCTAGAAAAAATTTAATTATTACAAAGAAATAATTTTTTTAGGATGAAGAAGAAGAAGTAGCTACAGCTGTAAAAACAAGTTTTACTATCAAACTTATGAAGTATGATGAAAAACAAAAAGTTGCTTTGATTAAAGAAACAAAAAATTTGTTAGAAGGCATGAATTTAGTACAGGTTAGTACTTCTGATTACTTTTGAGCTTCTTATTTAATCTATGTAATTTTCATTATATTTTATTTTTAGGCCAAAAAGTTTGTTGAAAGTGCTCCTGCAGTTATTAAAGCAGATATTGGTAAAGATGAAGCAGAAAAATTAAAAGAAGCATTTACTAAAGTAGGAGGTGAATGTGTAATTGACTGAGTAATACAAATGTATTATATATGTATGATTATTTTATTTTACAAAATGTTTATGAATTATGTAACCAGTCAATGTTCATAATATTTAAATACATTGTAAATTTTAATATTGTTAGATTGAAAGTATATAATTGCCTTTTCTGTTTTTTTGAGTTGTTTTGAAAACAGTTTTGGGTAAATTGCTAATGTATACATTTTTTAATAAAATTACATTGAAAAATTAATTTTACAAAAATATATTAATGATCCAAACAATTTCTATAATTTGAAATAAATGTAGAATATCAATAATTAAATTGTTTTAATACATAATTAACTAAAATTATGATTATTATAAATATTACTTTTTAAATAAAGTATTATATTTATGCAATTATAAATGTAAAATGAAATGTTAGTAAGCTGCAATATTGTTATCAACTATAAAACTATCTATATATATATATATATGTATAAGTATTTAAAAAAAAATACTTATAGATATATTGGTAGATACGCTTAGTAAATAGTATATAGGTATGTCAATTTTATGAAAACATATTTTCCCTGTAACTATTAATAACAATTTTCAACATGAAATCATTGACTTTGTTAATATATTAATATTCACTATTATACATTTTGAAATCAACTTACATTGGAAATACTGTTCTATAGCTTTTTAATGTATTTTATGAGGCGATTATGATAAAACTATACTTCCATAATATTAAAACCATCTTACCAATTATACATTTTTTATTCAATAATATACATTTTACGTATGCATGTATATTTTTTTATTTTTACATTTTCTAAACATAATGTAAATTAAAATAACAGGAATATAAAAAAAACATAAATTAATATAACTAATAGATAGGTTGATAGGTTCTGATTAAGACTTACAATACAAAAATGGTATTATGTAAATTAATATAACGTGGATTAAGTATAAGTATATTCTAAATATATGTATATTTAATCTATGAAAAACATTGAATAGTTGTATGAAGAAATTAAGACAAATTTTTGAGAAAGCGCATAGTTAACTAAGAAATTCTTGAAGAAAGTCCGTCTTAATCAATGTTAAAGTTTATTACATGTTGCATGTAATAGATTGAACCTGTTGAATTGAGTAATTAACTACAGATATTTTTAGCTGGAACTTTGATATTATCTTGAATTTGTAAATCTTTGTGTTGGTTAAAATTCTTTATATGCCTAGTCAGCCTTATTTAGGAGAATTTGTATTTGTTGTTTTTTTTGTTAATTGGTGTGATTTACCCCAGATTGAACAGATGTAAATAAGTATAGAGAAAATTATTTATTTATATATTAAAAAAATTATATGTTTAACTTTTGGATGCCATAGTATATTTTCATTGTTAAATTTTAGTTATGAGAGAGTATGATAGCAATATAGACTAAAAATACATTTTTAATCAAACTTTAAATTTTATAATACACAAAACAACAATATTAATTAATAAAAATATTGATCACTCACTTGTATCTTAAAATGAACAATGCAAATTAAAAAAGGTATATAAAACCATTGATTATATATTACTATATAATAATATATAAACAATTTATAAAAGCCTGCTGATTAATGTGGGTGTCTTATTTATGATTACTCCCTCCAGGCATAGCAATTAATATATTTTTTAATGCTTGAAATTCTTTTAATAAACTATGTATTATCTATATTAACCCTTGGTTATAGAGGTTCATACCCATTAGGATTGTTCAATGGTAATTTTCACCTAGCAATTCTCTTGGTCTTTATTTTATCAAATATTTTCAAATACAATAAAAATTAATAAAAAATAAAAATATATGCAGAGTAATAATTATATTTATAATTTTGATGAATACACGTAACTAATAAATAATACGTAAAAGATAATTTTGTAAAAGAATATTAATAAATAAGTACATAAAAATAATATAATTTCTACATGTCAGTCTTTATATGAATAAAAGTGATCATCATTGTGAGTTCAAAAAAACCAGATTCAACGTTTTAACTGTTCACCCATTCTGTAAAATGAGATAGTAACAACATTTAATTAAAAACATAATAATATTAATAGCTTTAACAAAATTAATCGACTTACTTGAAGCCAAACTTGGATAACAGGGTCTGGCTACCTTTCCCAGTGCTTTTAGACAATCCAGTTCTAGGACATGAACGTTTTCTTTGTTTGGGAGTTACCTTGGAACTTGATGTGTTAGCATTCTGACTAAAAAATCCTTCATCAATATCGTCTTCATTGTCAATCTATAAAAAATCATTACAAGAATTAAATATATTTTTTAAGTGTAGTAATAAAAAAAAAAAATGAAAAAAAATATGTTAAGTCTCATAGTATTTGAAAGATTTTTATATTGATTTTAAGTTTTACTAAAAAATATAAATTTTCTCCTATACAATTTAAAAGTCTTTAATTTAATAGCCACTTATGATGAATATTTAAATATGTATTATAGATCCCATACATTAAGACTATTGAAGTGCGGTTTTACAGCATTTTACATTAAATAATTCATATAAAATTAAAGCTACTGTTAACTGAACACAGGTATTTAAATGATACTTAATATATTTTAAGACTTAACATACAATCAGGAAACTGTAAATATTTTTACTTTAATAGTATCATTGTTTGTTAAACTACTATCATTTTCATTCTCGTATGGAATTACTTTTTGATATTGACTTTCATCATTATTTGTTACAGATTTATTATGTGAAAAGTTTTTCCAACTAAAAGCTTTTTCAACTCTACTAGGTGTTTTTTTAAATGAGTTGATATCAATCTTTGTGATTTTTTCATTTTCAAAAAGTTGAGGTTTATTTTCTTCATTGATATAATTATAATTGAATGATGTATTTAAATCATCTTTAGTGTTTTCTTTTTTAGGGGAAGTAATTTTGCGGCATTTAAATGGATTAATGCACTTTTCTTCATAACTTTTCGGTACTTCAGTAGAAAAATATCTATAAATAAATAACTATTAATAAATTTATAAAACTCAATTAAAATTATTTCAATTACTTACCCACTAACTATTTGTTTTTCTGAATCTATAACTGTATGCTTTCTTTTTGTTAATTGTTTAGAACTTGGAAATTCTTCCTTTTCTGCTGTAACATTATCTATTTCTGAAACTAAAATTTTTTCTACCACATTTTTATCTTTTTTTGACATTGAATTTTTAGGCCGAGGTTCGTCTTGATCATAGGTTTCATTTTCATAAATTTCTTCAAGAGTATTTAAAATATCATCTTCGGTTACTGAAAAAATAAGTAAATTTAAGACAAATAATCACTGATGACATAATAAATTTCAGAGTTATAGGTATACGTTTACATTATAATTACTAAACAATTAATATGTTATTATGATAAAGTAAAATTAATTTGTCATATTGTAATAGATGTGAAAATTATGGGTCATAAAGAAATAATATATTAGCTCTAATTATACCATTCAAATACACAGGCATGTGATATGTAACATTTATTATTTAGATGGTGTTATAAAACATAGTGGTATAGATTAAGTTATGTATATTTAATCTATGATTATTATTATTATTATTATTCAGATATCACATCCAAAATTTTAATTTAGCTTAGTTATGGTTTCTTACTCAATATAGTTTAATATGAATACAACAAAAAAATATAAAAATGTTAACAAATACCATAATACAAAATTTCTCAACCTAGGAGTTAATCAATCAGATTTAATTAACCATATAATACAAAAAATCTTTTTAGTTAAAAAAAAAAAAAATAGCAAGACACATAATGATATACTAATTTTTGACTGTTTAATATTTGCAGTTTGACATTTGAAACAAAATTAAAATTATTTTTAAGTGATAAATCTTAAAATATTTTTGTATATTGGTAATTTGGTTTATTGATGATCAATGATGTAAGATATTCAGTAACATATAACACAGATAATTTGGCTCTTAATTAGTTTTTATTATAAAGGGATCATAAGGTTATAGAGTTCAAATCAAAACAATAAAAAGTTTGAGAAATGTTTTGGGATCATAATATAAAGTATGGAATACTTATGATGGAGTATATTAAGTTAGCTTTAATTCTTAAACTGTTTAATAATAAATGGGTAGAGTAAGATTTATTTTTATGTTCTTATAAACAAACCAAAAAATTACCTGGTAGACACTTTTTTATTGAAGACAATTCATTGGATGGTGATGAGTTACTCGCATAAGAGCCATTCTTAGGAAATTTAGAATGGACAATTGGAGAACTCTTAATAATTTCTTGATTTAAGGAATACATATTAGGTTTGAATTCTGTTATTATGTAATTTTTTGACCAAATACTTTTATGACGAGCTTTAATAACTTTACTTTTTGTAGTGCTAGCAGGAGTCTATAAATAATAAATTAAAACTATTTACAAAATATTAATATAAGAATATCCTTACCATTTGAGTATCTGGATCCCAATCATCCATAACTTCAAGAGATATAGGATCTATATTTCCTAGAGCAAGTTGGTAAGCCTGATCATTAGTTAATTTAGAAACAAGTGTAGATAAATTAGGATCAATTATTTTATTCAATGGTATTATTTGACGAGTTAATGGATCGTATACAGGTTGATATTGAAACATACGATCAGCATCCATAAATTGATCACGGTAATCAGATGGAATTTTAACATTCATAAAAGATCCCAATCTTGAGAGATTCTAGGATATTGATATTTTATTACTATTTTTACGATAAAATATTAAAATAAAGGTTTTGTCAAAGATTACTTTATAGATGTCTGGTTCACTTGATCTAGAGATGAATTGTCGGGCTTTCATCAGTCCTATACCAGGAATAGAAGGTAAGTAATCACAACCTGATAATATACACATATATCGAAATTTATCCATATTGAACTGTTCAGGTTGCATATTCATTGAGAGGTGAATTTTTTCTTGTTCAATTAATATGCCACCCCCATTTTGATCCAACTTAAATAATACCTGAATAAATAAGCTATTAAAAGATATTTTAAAATAAATATTAATAAATAAAAGTTACCCTTTTGCAACCAAACAGCAATAAATCTGAATCTTCTGTAATTACTAAATGAGCAATGCCACTTAAATTTAAATAAGCAAGTTGAGAGTCAGCTTCATAAGGTGCAACAATACAATCAACATTAATTTCTCTACATCGTTTAATGAGATTTAATGCCATTTTATGAGTAACATCTATACTTCGCCTTAAAAGGGATGAAGCTTCTTTTCCTTTGTCTAAACGCATTAACTCAGCAGCTTTTTTTCGATTTTGTTCTCTAAGTCTAAACAACAAATATAATATTGATAAAAATAAAAATAAAATTCTTGTCATACAATAACTTAAATTAAATTATATTATTAAATATTAAATAAAATTACTTTCGCCTTTTTGATTCAGTTTCAGCTTTAGCAGGCAATTGCTGTCCATCAAATACTAAAATTGGTTTGATATTTTTAGCTAACAGCATAGACACAAATCGCATACAATAATGTACATAACTGTAAAATTATAAAATACATAACTAAATATTAATTAATACTTTAAAAATATTGTTATATTATAAAAACAAAAAAAAATATTTTAAAATATAATATAAAAATTCAATACATTTTAATTATAATTATAAATTCAAAAATGTTTTATTATTCATAATGGGATTATTTTTAGTTTGACTATTATAACAATTTTAAATAAAAAGATTTTTAAAAATTGTATACATGTATATAATATGGTGTACATTTTATTAATTTCAGTAACTATTAAAAATAAATGTATTAAAACTTTTTTATAGGTTTACTCCTAGGTCATCCTATAAATATGATTATATAATATAGGCTAGAAATAAGAATTTTATTTATCATGATAGTATTGTTAACATAAGCATTAAAAATAATATTATCTATAAGAAAACCCAAATAAAAATTGTGTATACTGATATAACAGTTCATTTCAAAGTAATAATAAATGGAGTTCACTATAATGTATTGTATTTCTACAAATTATTCAATTTTTATATATAAGAAAAGAAAACTATAAATGTTATTTCCATTAAAATTACTTGTTGTCAAAACATTTATTTCAATAGACATATTTTAAGACTAGGATTACATTTAACCTTAAATTATATGTTAACATTTTTATAAGGGAAATCCATAAGCAAAATTCACTTACACTATAACTATTCCTAGCACGAATATCCTGCAATGGTAAAAACCAAAGTAGCAAACTTATTAGGAAAAGAGACAATAATTTCCAAAGAATGAAAAAAAAGGATATAAAATAAAAATATTGTTAGTTAAGATTTTTGCTTAATAATTCTTTAATAATATAAGCATAAACTTATTTACCTAAGCATAAAAATATATAAGAAGCATATTGAATATTTTAGTTAGGTACAATTAAGTACATAATTTGAAAAAAATTACTAACTCTATTTAAGATTTAACTTATATAAATATCTATTAAGTAATAGGATTGGATTTAACTTCATAATTTGAAAAACATATCACATTACCTATTTACAATTTCTAATTTTTTATGTTTAAAAAAAAGTTTAATCATTCAATAATAAGCCTATTAGCTTATACTCACGCTTGACTGTCCTCTCCTTTGGCTAATTTTTCAGCACACGTGTACACACCTTTGTGTAACCAACAATAAGCGTCGATGGCCACAGTACATTCCGAGAACTCTGACACATTAACCGATCTCCAAGATTTCTCTAAAAGTGGTATTAGACCTTGAATACCCATTCTTCTTTGATTTTTTTTGTTTTCATAAATTTATAAAATGAAATAAGCTATACAAACGTAGCTACTCTTAACATTAAAAAAAAACAAATTAACACTTATAACGAATATTATAGAAATTAAATTGAAAAAAATGGTTATCGAAATCGACCAATTCTAATAAATATTCAAGATTTAACAAATGTTACACTTACTGTGTGTACATAAAAAAATCAAGTAACTAATTTAATAAATTAATTTTTAACCATTATGTAAATTTTAATTTTGCACACACTAGAATATTACCCGCCAAAATATTGATAATATAGCACATATGCTTTTGTAGTGCTTATCGCGGTAATAAATTGAAAAGGTTCAGTTGGTAAATTATATTGTTTTAGGTTAGTTTTAAGAAACCAAAGGTTTAATGTTAATTGTAATTTGTACGTTTTTTTTTAGTAAATTTTGTTTTACTTTTATTTTTTGAAAAACCATTAATAAATTAATGAACCAAAAATTAATATGATTTGAAAGAAATGCAGAATATCAATAAGTAAACTGTTGTAATATTTAATTTACTAACATTACGATCATTTTGAATATTACTTTTTAAATATAATATTTATATAAATTGAGAAATGTAAGTTGTCATGTTAGTTAATAAGCTATAATATTGTTACCAACTAATTAATGAAGACCTAATATTGCCTAATTTTCTTCTATTGAACATTGAAATTTCTTTTATAAGTATTTATACATACAGTATTTTTTGTTGAAAAAATTGTAGTCTATATTTTTTTACTGATATATTAATACATTTTTACATTTTTTATAGTATGAATAGGAAATATTACAATAAAACCTATCGATATTTCTAGATATTCATAAAAAATAGTATATAGATCAATAACTTTACCAAGACTTATTTTTTCTGAAAAATAGGATCACTGAATTATAATATGATTTATATCACTATTAAAGACAGGAAACATTACAAGTTTTTAAAGACAGTCTCGTTTTAATCAATGTTGAGGTAGTTATGCATCAAGGTAGATATATATCCACCTTGTTATGCATGTAATAGATTGAATCTGTTGAATTAATTAATTATTTATAGATATTTCGAACTAGAATTTTGATATAATTTTGGCTTTGTAAGTCTTTGTGTATATTAACATTCCTTATAAACTTAGGGGCATTAATGATTATTCTTATTACAATATTTTAGAGAATTTGTATTTATGGTTTTTGTGTAATGGGGTGATTTACCCAAGATGAGATAGGTGCAAATAAGTATAGGAAAAATGATTTATTTATAAATAAAAAAAGAACATTTCTTTATGTTCTGTAGATTCTTTTGTTTTAAATATAGCAGTAAATTTTGTTGGATTGTGAAGCTTCCAAATTAACTTTTATTACAGCAAATATTACTCCAAGGTAGTGTCGGCACTAGGTATTGCGGGGCTCTGGACATACATAGGTATTAGACTTTAGGTTACCAGTAAGGGGCAAAATTCTAGCTTTCTTTTTCAAAGGATTTTTTAAAAAAATATTGTTTTTCTTCGAATTTTAAACAATAACTATAGAGAAAATAAATATTTATATTATTATTTATTGTAGGAATCCTACTCCATGGATATCGTTGTATTGATAACAATTTACTTTGTAATTTGTACTATGGCTAAATTTATATATCATTTTCCAAAACACTGATGATAGGCATAATATAGATTTATAATTTATCGATATAAAATGTCAATGTGTCTCATGGTATTAAGATGATAATTAAAAATCATGGGGCCCTGGACAAATGTCCCATTTGTCCTCCCCTAGCGCCGGCACTGGTCCAAGGTATTCAACTTTTGGTTCCCAAAATATATTTCCATTAATAAATTTTTTAGTTATGAGAGAGTATGATAGCAACAGTGACTAAAATAACTTTTTAATCAAACTTAAATTTGAGAATACACAGAACAACATTATCTAATAAAACATATATATATTAATAACGTTCATAAAAATAAAAACAATATACAAAAAATTGATCACTCATTTGTATTTTAAAATAAAAAAAATTATACAAAACAATATTTTATTAAATTGTAATATAATTTTCTATATGAATTTGAGTTCATACATTTTTCATCTGTTTTGACCTCCATAGAGTCCTCGTTCAAATATCATTGTAGTGAAAACTTAGAGTCCCTTTAAATTATATGTATACATTTATACTATTTTCTCTTTCAAAGTCGTTTGTTTAATCTTCCAAAATGTTTCAAATATATTTAATACAAAATAAAATATTATATATATTTATATATGGACCGAATTGGGAAGGCTTATATATTTTTTACTGATAATAATTTTGATTGATCAATCCATTGACGAATAGTAAATAGTTTTGGTAAATTAACTTTTTTTAAAAGTAAAAATTTATAAGCTGATGGTGATTTATGAAATAAACCCAAAGCTAGATTTTTTTCATTTCTTGTCCAAGTGCGACATTTAGTTTTCAGTTGCATCATAGCCATTGATTTAGAATTAATTGATGAAAATTCATATGCATTTAACAATTTTTTTATTTTATTATGTATTTTAAAATTATTTATTTTATGTTTTAGTTTAGAAATATGAGTAGTTTTATTATTAATTATCTTATTTTCCTGTTTAATTTTTTTTTTTAATTTCAATTTATTAGGACCATCAATTTCAATTGATTGAGATTTTTCTTTTAAATTTGGGGTTGGTGATACAATTAAATCTGACATTTCAGTTTTTTGATTAGTGGGAATATTTGAAAAAGGACTTGGAAATATTAATTCTACACTACCAGATTTAGAACGTCCATATGTAATAATAGGAGTAGTGACAACTAATTCCATTTCTTGTTCAGGATCATCTTTGATTATTCCTACAAAAATTTACAATTTCAAGATTAGCTAAACAGTATAATTAAAAAAAAATTATAAAATCCAAACAATAAGAAAGAAAAGATTTGCTTAGTTACTATACAATATAAAATGTGACCAGAGCATTTTTAAAATATTTTATTAATAAAAAACAATTAAATACTTTTAATTTAATAAAATATAAAACACTTTTTACCTGATGATGTAGTTGGATTTTCTTTTGAAAAGTATTTATATGGAATAGCAGTGCATACTAATTTCTTTTTGTCATTGGCATTCATAAAACTTTCTGGAGAAAAATGCTCTTGGCAAATATATCTGTTATGGAGTTTTATTGGGTCAAGAGAAAATAAAGCTGTGCTTCCTGGTGAAAATAAATTATATTATTTTAAAAGTGTAATTTATATTATGTTCTTAAAAAAACAATATATATATATATATATATTAATAATAATATTAATTAAAATTAAGTCACATAATTAAAGTATGAATAATTTTTTATAAATATTTTTAAAATGAATATATAAACTTGCATACTAGACTTTAATAATATAGCAAGTGTACAAATTTGCATGTAATATTTAAAAATAACAGTCATAAAAAAATAATGATTAATTTAAAACCTCTTTTTTTTATACTTATATATCTGCTATACACGGTTAAGAAATATTGTGAAAAACGTATTCAACACTTTAATTCATGTATAAAATTGTACTTTATTATAATATATATATACACGTGTAAATATACATTTTTTTTAAATTAGGGCCTCAATAACTAAAGTTATTAGCCAGTGTTCATTTAAAAATATAGTATAATAAGGTATAATATATATATATAGTAGGTACATATGTATGGAGATTTTATGTATACATTATAACATATAAATCCAATATATTGACAAAAAAGGAATTGCTAAAATATATCAATATATTTTTTATAATCTATTTATACTACTAGTGATAATTATATAATCTACATGTATTTTCATCCCATAATCGGATAGAAGAAATAACTAGACATTTCAAAAATCAAACGTGACTTCACGTGTTAAAAAAAAAAAATATGAATATATACATGAAGATAGGTATTTCCATCGGGATATCACAGTGGGCCAGCCTGTATAATACATTTTGTTATTTACAAATTCATCTTACCTTATAATAAAGGTGTTGACAAAAATACAGAATACCACTTCCTAATTTATTACAGATGGTTTTTTGTTTGGCAAAAGTTTAAAATTTGAACAGCAATAAACTTACCAGAGTTCGTGATCCAAATTTTATGTCTTTCGTCTTTTGGGAACCGAAAGAAATGAATGGCGGGGAATTTCCTGCTGGTCTTACCACAACCATGGTATTGACATTTATTACCGGACATTTTTTGAAAATAGATTGTTATGTCACTGCTTCAGACGATTAGGTAGATCATCGATTTTGTGGAAAACATTCGGACGCGCCACTGCGCAAAATGGGATCATATGGCGACCCACTCAATACCTGCTGCCACTATGAAGCGTTAGTGTCGAATGCATGCGACGGTAGAGGGACACCGGTCGTAGCCACATGAATGTTATGTACAATATACCAAACAGGTGCGTATATCCTAACAGTTTGCATTGACGAGTAGCGACGGATGTGCTTGTTTGGTGGTCGAAACGATCATGCAGTGCGACGAGTTCGTTTTCCGTTGAAATTTTTTCGCAAACAAAACACGTTTTTAACACGACTTTCCGTCGCAGGCTGTCGACACTAGCGCTCCACAGCGGCAGTAGGCATCGAATTGGCCCTCAAACAAAATATTTTACATAATGTTTCATCTGTACGTGTTATCATTGATTTTAAATTGTACGGCCGCTACGCTCGGTATCCTGTCGTTAATCATACAAAATGCCTATTTGGGCGCAGCAACTACGTAGCTGTACAGTTTATTATTGCGTTCATATTTATAAAAACAAGTTTTCAACAATAGAAAATATTTTAACTGTAACTATAATTAATTGTACGATAAGTTGCTTCATTAATGAAAACCTGTTTTTATCAATATGGACGCAAACGATCACAGCGACGTCTATTCGTTGCTTCCAATTTTTAACAATACCTACTTGTTTATTATCTGTATACGTATATTATTCTTAGACCAATGTTTACGTCGTTCGCGCTGCGATAACAGTTATTACTACTGAGCATATACATAATGCTAATCACTGATGTTCAGTGTTGCACACGGAGAAAAAAATAATTAGCTCGAACAATTGAAATAACTAAATTATTAATAATTGTTTTCAGGGGTGGACTGGGTATCGAGGGACCCGGGGGGTGGGGGACCTGGTATTATTGCATTTTGATTAAAAAATATTTTTAGTTAATTATGTTCAATTCATCCAATTTCGGATATTCTAATAGTAAATGAATGGTGTTTTGCCATTATAATTTAATATTACATTTTGTTTACGGCTAATTAATATGATACTATCGAGGGCCCAGGAGTCGATTTCCCCTTTGTCTCCTTGGCCAGTTTGACCCTGATTGTTTTGTTGAAAATGTGACTGAACAAGGTGGCTAACTCTCACCACGGTTTTTGAAGATCTTTTAATCCTGTGACTCTCTCTATGGTCTCAAACATGGGTGGATAACTGAAGCCTTACGCTCTCGCGGTGTCACATCATCGTTGGTCAAACGTATCATATAACCGCTTTAGTCTTTCGTCGTCTGCCACCCGTTAGTCAGACTGTGAACAATTCTTAACCGTTACCATAAGACGAAAGATACCAAACTGTTGCCTGCTAGCGTGTTCTATATTAATACGCAATATTTGGTCGTAACTCATTTTTCTTAAAGGAATGGTCTTAGTTTTATGTATAATATTTTTAGAATAAATACTATGCTAAAAGATACCCTTGGCGTTGCAAAACGTTGTTAAATTACGATCTACCATTGCACATTTGTTGTTTTCGGTTTGCGAACATAAGACTTTAAAGCAAAAAAAAAAACTAAAACAAATCATCCGTACGAATTCGGAAACGCACTTTATTTCTGTTAAAATATGTGCAATATGAAATGTAATGTAAAAATAAATACATAATAGGTACGTATTATATGTCGTTAACTCAAAAGTAACTCGTGCATTCATCATACTATAAGTTAAATATAGTTTTAATAACATAAAGTACAAAAAATAAAAATATTTCAATTAACTTTTTATGATATAACAATGTACAATAACTTAATATATAATTAACAAATATGATTAGATAATTAAAAAATTTTTTTTTTGCTCTAATAATATATATTTATACAACAAAATATATAAAAGCTTAAAAGCATATTACTATTAATGATTAACAAAAATATAAATATGTATTTACAAATAATTTATAAATTATCGTTCAATGTTAATAACATTACCGATGTAGGTTTGTGTCTTATAATCTGCTTAAAATATTTTTATTGCGTTTACATATTATAATAATAAATAAAACTTGAGTTTGAAAACAAAATGTTTACTATTAAAATATTATTACAACGTAAAATTAATGGAACAGCAGTATAAATACATAAAAGGTAGTACCGTCATTGGATACTTATGTAATACTATGTCTTAGAATTTCGACATTAGAACTCGAATTTCAAAAACATAGTAATTCGATTAGGGTTTTTTTATTATTATATATCAATGTATTGATTTACATTTCAGGAGTTATTGTCAGTTTAAAGCTTGATAACTAACATGATTTTCGTTATATTTGTATATATATACTAACCAGCGTATGCTTAATATTATGCATAATATAAACGGTTCATAGAAGCACATATTACTCATGGTAAGTTATCAGTGTAAATATTATAATTTAGCAGCTGGTTATCAAAACCCGCCATTAGGTGCAATCCCTAAAATATTTACTGGAATACAATTTTTTATGTTATATTATCTACGCTTATCTACACTTATCGTCACAAAATAAATATTTCATTTATTTTGTCATGATATTTACGACTTATTTCCTGGCTGAAATCGGTATACGAGAAAAAATATCAAACGTAGCGTATAGTAATGTAATATAGTATGTCTAATATACAAATATATTTCTACGAAATACTATATTATGTTTAAAATGTAAAATTATTATACGAACAAGACGTACGAAAAAATGCGTAGGCAGGAGTGTTTTTTTATAAGTGTATTAATATTATTGATATTGTAATCAAATTATTGCTGTTGAACGGGAGCGGCTTTTGATGTTTTCCAATCTTTAAATATCAGATACACACCTGTCGCGTATACGGCTGCGTTGATGATTCCAAATAACTATGCGCAAACAAATCGTACGGTAATAATTAGTCAACGTTCACGTATCCACGTGAATGTAATAATTATGACAAGATCGTATGTATTATTTATTTATATGAATATTTTACATCTAGCTTGAACTCACCCCGGCTGCTATGTTCGGGTTCTTGTAGTACGAGTGGTACGGTCTGGACCAAGCCGATAGTTGTACGATAAACGCGATCGTGTACAGCACGGTCAACAGGAGAGTGTTGAAAAATTCCTGGAAAAAAAAATACCCAAAGATTTTAGTTGGACATGTATAAAATTTTCATTTACAATGACGCATGTAGACGTGTACAAAACGTCCCAATAAGTATCTTTAATACGCCATACATTACTATAATACTAGTATAAAACTATTTAATCGATACTACTGCACGAATATTATGTGTATAACAAATACCATACAAATAGATCATTCTTACATCAATCATAGGCGTGCGCAAGTAGGGTACCGCGTGTGTTCGGGTACCCTCTGAAATGTTTCATGGGGCTTTATAATTTAAGTTTATATGTTGTTTATAAGTTGTATGAGCCCGTATTTAAATTGATATTGCTCAAATTAAATATAATTTATTCTAAAATATTTGGTTATAAATAAATTATGTTTCGTAGTAGAAAAAATAAAACAAAATGTTCTACATTTTCTTGCAAATTGACTACATAAGTACAAATTATAAATAATTGGTTATCTAAAAAATATAATATTCGGCTAATATATCACAATAAAAATAAAGTTATGTTTATTTAATTATAATTTTTTTTTAGTTTAATTTGCTTTTGTCTAAAAAAAAAAAAAAACATTACAGCAAATTTAATTATTTATAAATTATAATTTATTAAGTATATCTACACATTTTATTAAGATAGGGCTTAAAAGTATTGTAGGCACTACCTGAAATGTATGTATGTGCGATTTAAATTAGGACTTATCTAAGAATTGTTATTTTGGAATTTTCTTTGTCATATTTTATATAGTAGCTTCCAAGTTATATAAGTTAGTTTTATATAGTAGTTTTCAATCATTTTATTAAACTACACATATTTTCGTCCAAAGCTAAAAATGAATTTCGAATTCCAGAACGTTATATATATACTGAAATGACGCCAATGTAAAATTATTTCATCATAAATTTACTTTACCGTGAGCACCCAGTTGATGGGGAAGTTTATGGCCTCCCGGATGGAAAGCAAGTATACGAACGACCAAATGGCGGTTGCAATGAAACTGATGATGACCACGAACAAGAACCAATTGGTTCCAGGTAACCTGGCCGGCGAAGCAAGTGCTAGACAAACTATTCCGATTATCTGAAAAAATTATATGAAATCATTAGGGCCGTTTAAATATTGGCAGTATATTCGTATTATAACATGGATACAATAAATTTTTCCTCTTGCAGTCTATTATATTATTATTATATATTCTTCAAATATTATTGGAATTGAGGGATTGGGATAGTAATATTATCCCTCGTCTTCAACTTCCATTTACGTTTTATTACGGTCCTCCATATTTAGGTACAACTTATTCTTACTTCTCGCATTAATACTGTTATAGTATCACTCTGGTCCAACAAACATCTACAACTATTTTTTTTTAGACCTTTTACTCTTTTTTCTATCTACTTTTATTCCTACTTACATTATTACTATTTTCTTTTTGATACTAAGATAGGTATTACATAATAACTACTTGAATACCTACGCATAACAGCTATTATAGGATGATATGCTTTAAGTATATTAATAATAGTTTTAAAATTAACTATTAAGTTACATTTAATATTTTATTCAGTTTTCAATTTAAAATGTTTGTATAATAATATTTTTATTTTTTATTAAGAAAAAGCTTCAACATCTGGATCATTAGCTTTTAATTTAACATAGACTTACTTAATATTATTTATATACATATTTACATAAAGATAGCATTAATTAGATTTGTAAGCTTAGCGGCGTTGTAAAAAAAATTGTAAATGGAATCAGTGTTTGCTCCGTGTTGGTAGGGTGGTTGAGATACTTTGTTTTTCTTGGTAGTTTGAACAGTTGAGGGTCAGGTGTTCAATTGATAGTGGTTAATTATAATATTGGCACGTTCCTCGTGGGTAAAAAGGTGAGAATGGTTGAGGTGTGTATAATCTATTCTAATTCTTGTAGTAATAGTGTCTACTTTACGGGTTGTGTTGATGGATGTTTACCATTTTTTAACTGTTTTTTTTTTTTTTGTATTTTTTAATTTGTTATTAGTTACGTTATTCCATTAGGATTGTCATTGTTGGATTGATATTTGGTTGATTATTTATGATGTATCTTTGTATGGTAGTGTATTAACTTCAGTCAATTGGGGGATGATAATATATAATATATATATATATATGATAATATTATTTTATTGTAAAATAATTAGCTATAACTGTATGTGCCATATCTTAATTTTGCTTTGCTCTAAAATCAATAATTTTGTCCCGTTTCTAGTCAACACTAAAATGTAGTTAAAGATTAATTAAATTAAATTTAATAATGTTTCAAAATATTATCCCTGTAACGTTATCAATCGCTGATTTAAGGTATGCATACAGTACAAATTTACACAAATTAACAAATATATAAATATTCATCACGCGCCATAGGAGTTATATTGCATTGGGTATATTGAACTTATTTTTATTATTGAATGCTTTTATATTATTCGAATGATCGTCGGTGTTCCAATATACTTCAATATATAATATTACCCAATTGACCGCCCACGCCTATGATATATGTATTATACATATATAGTTATATAGTATATACTATAATAGTTATTGTCGAAATTGATAATCTACAATAATGATGGTAATCTACTAGTTCATCCATAAGTGTAAAATAAAAAAAACTGAAGGTTACCTACTTATTATTTTTGTTAATATATATGGCTGGTACCACTACATCATATTATACCCACGCATGGTTACACAGGGGTTGACCATGAAAACCAACGAATTCTCGTCTGGTACATGTGTTCGCAGACAAACACCCATAACATTGTCATATAACATTTCATATTTGTATATCCGAAAGACGAAAACGCAAGCTAATAATAACTATTTATAATGCACTAATGTGCTTAACACAACAGTTATAAATTACATGTTATAATTTTTATAATATTCTATACTTGATATGTTATTTTGCTCGTACACCGGACAAGTATGATATATATTCATATTCTAGTGTTTTATGGAGTTTTCCTACCTATTTATATCAATACGTAATAATAATAATAAAAATATAATGTAGAGGTTAATACGATAAAAAACCCTTATATTCTACATCTGTTGATTAATTTTCCATTTCTAGAATGCTATGGATTATATTAAATATATAATAATACCATTATTATAATTTATATACAATTGTTAACCTACATCAATAGAACCTCTAAATTGTGAACTGTTACGGAGGAATTTAAAAAATTCGTTATTAAGAAGAGTTCATTGTAGTTAAAAATGCAGGATTCTTATCATTTTACATGTTATGTGTTTTTTTCCGGAGAATTGTTATTATTCTAATACGGCACGGCATATATTACAAGAATGTAAATAACGGTCTGGTATTTAATTCAATGACTGCGATGCATGTTTACTTCGTACAAGTACACTAATAAGTTCTAATAGGAGGTGTTTTATATTCTATTCCGTCAGTAATAAATCATAACTCACGAGTACCCTGCGGTTAAGTTGTTCGACAACTGTTGCGCATGCGTAAGGAATTTAATACTAGCAACCGAAACTTTTTTGACAAACTTTAACTAATGAAAATGTATGTATTGTATATATGATGTGCACGGGAATTACCTTGATTTATCTATATTTAAAAACATACTTCCAAATCGATTTTAAATAAAGTTAAATTGTCTTCTGCAGTTTTGCCGGGGGTGCGGTCAACACTATTTGATATATTAATCACAATGGATCCAAGACAATGGTATTTATTTTGTTTTATAAAATAAGTTATAAATATAATATTGGTAAAATAATTATACCAATAAAAAAATAAAGTAATGCAAAGTAATACAATAACACGTAAACATACTCTATTGACACATTATCTACATATATAATATATACAATGTATTATATATGTATACATATTATACACCCTAATAAGTAGAAGAAAATACATATTGAATTTTCTTACATATTAGAAACAGCATTAACTTATTTGTGTGATATATCATTTAACGAAAGTATCAATTGTTAATTTTTTCGTAGTGACGTTGACATATTTTGAAATAGACATTGAAGAAAATTGGCCTGCCTTAACATTTGGCACAATTTTAAAATAAACAGAAATGGCGTTACTGTATGTATATATTTATAGAACAATATCAATGCGTTAAGCTCAGCATAAACACATATGTTGAATGTTCGAGAATTCGAAGGACCACACGATCCAATATAGTATACATATTTGTCGACTATTTCCCGATGTATCATTGTAAAATTGTGACCGCTTAGTCGTTTTATCAAGCCTCAACATGTCTACTATAGTTAATTGTTACCTATGTATAGGTTATGATATGTAATACGTGTACCGCAGGACAGTGCATTTTTTAACTAGTTAACTAGGCGACACAAATGTCGCCCAGTGATTATACTCTGTCGACAATATTTTGAAAGATTGGGCGACATAATGCGAAACAAACGTGTAATATTATAATCGTACTATGGTATTATATTGACTATTTTGAGAAAAACATTTTTTGTCGTTCAGTGAAAATTCCTTATAAAATGCACTGCCGCAGGACCTGAAGAATAAAGCTTATAATGCGCGTACGTGCATTATGTACCAGAGTGTACTCGTATGTACATACATATACTGACCAATCATTATTTTTACACGTAATATTATTTTTGTCACCGATTTTTATTATTATTATTATTTTTTTGTTCTATTGCCGTGGTTCAAAAAATTATTATAATAAAGTACCGTTCGCGCTAAGCACAAAACACCAGCTACCCATTGCAGTGCCGGATCTAGGAAATCTGACGCCCGGGGCTAGTAAAAACGCAGTACCCTTACATAGATGGAATTCACGGCTTTATATCAATTGCGCCGAAAATCGCAGGTAAAGGAAGAAAAATTATGGGATGGAAAAAAGGTATACATCTATTGCACCGGTATAAAAAGAGTATAATTTACAGGCATACAATGCAATAGATATTGCACCGATCGATATTAGAGTTAATACATTTTGTGATTACCTCATTGATACATATATTGATGAAAATGCATTTTGTCCCCGTATCTTTAGTCATCGTGTAATATAATATGTTATATAATATTATCAGGCGAAAGAACAACAAATGCTTGTGAGGCATTTCACTCAGCGTTTGGGAAATATTTTTACTCTCCCTATCCAAATATTTTTGTTTTTTATGAAGTTTTAAAAATAATGTAACGCAACAATCATAATACGTATTCTCTTAGTTATCACAAATAGACCAAATTCTACATTTATGACAAAAAAATAAATAGTAAAATAGACATAACTAATAAGACCTAAGACCTTTTTAAAATGTGTAGGATTAGTGTAAATATATATATAATATACTATTAGTGTTAATACCAAGTATGGAGAATGATAAGTTTGATTTTAATTTTAATTTTTGTTTTTAGCCATTATGATTTTTATTTGTACTGTATAATTGTTTTACCGGCACAATAGATATACACCTTTTTAATATACCCTTTTTATACTAGCTCAATAAATGTATACTATACAAGTATTTGTCGTCAACTCAAGAGCGTCCCTATACCAACAGTGCCCAGGTCAAGCATACCCACTTGCCCCCTCTAGATCCAGCACTGGTTTGTTGTATACATATGTATTAGATTATGTTGTGTTTACCCACAGTCTCGCGAACAGCAGAATCGACCGAATTGACATTAAAAATAATGTTCTTTCTTCCATATTTTCTTATTTTATTAAAACCCCGACAATATTAGATTACAAATAAAATTACACACCACTGATAGATTTATAACAGTTATATTTGTATCAAATAAATATATATTTGTTCACTGTATAAATAATACGCATGAAGATACTGAACATTTTAATAACAATTGCAATTCGATGACAACATGCGTACGTGGACGTACACTTTTGACCGAAATACTGCACAAGACACGTCCGTCAAAGATAGATAGGTAAAATAATAATTTTTATTTATTACTATTGTATTACAAATATTTCTCTGACATATTCACGTCTCATCCCAACACTTTATTACCATATGAAATCACAACCATGTTGTAAG